GGCATTTCTTATAATAATTTTTTGCTTGTTTTGCAGACTTCAAGGCAGCTTTCAGTTAGTTTCCGTAATATGCAGCTGAGGAAGATCAAGCGAGCTGAGAAAAAGGGCACAGAGTCGGTGATGGATGAGAAATTCTCCCTACTTTTCCAGTCACAGTTCAGCGTAGGAGGTGGAGAACTTGTTTTCCAAGTAAGTATTGTTTCTGTTGATATATTTATACATATATATATATATATATATATATATATATATATATATATATATATATATATATATATATATATATATATATGTTTATTGACATGTCATATGTGTTATCCCAATCACCATGTAATGCCCCCTGTAGTTTTAGTGAATTTTGTTGCATATAGATGGCTCAACATGTGCTCAGCCTGCAAGGAGTCTAGCAGTAGGCCCTATTGAATGTTGCTGATTTCCCCATTTCTTGAATTGCGAGAAAATGTGTTTTCCTTTTGATACAATTGATATTGATACTTTATTATTATTAATGATATTACAATTATTAAATTGTTATTAAAGTCTTGGTAATCTTAAACACACAGAAATGATATAAAAGGTACTTTCCAAAAATTAAGGAGAAGGGTTATCAGGTGAGATAGGTAGGACTAATAACTGACCCCTTGGTGACTAAGCACTTGTAGAACCATCTGTATGTAAATACAATAAATAAAAATATATATGGTGGGCATGGGATGTATTCTTGCCACCCATGCCAATTGGGTTAATAATTGTGTAAGTGCTTATTATGCTGATTTATATTTATATACCAAAGCTTATGGGAAATTGAGTTTTATGAGAAATTATAAATATCTATAGTAGCCAAAGTAAGAAAGATGAATGATTCATGCCTTTTCTTATAATATCATGGACAAATCTTCCCCTCTTCTTTCCCCCAAGATTTTTCAATTTTTGATTAATCCAACTAATATGAATTTTATCTACCAGGTGTGGACTCTGTCTTTGCCAGTTGTGGTCATTGTCCATGGTAATCAGGAGCCTCATGCTTGGGCGACAGTGTCATGGGATAATGCCTTTGCAGAACAAGGCCGCATTCCATTTACTGTTCCAGAAAAGGTTATTATACACAATACCTTGTTTATAACAATATGAATGAAATACTATTCTCTTGAACTTTAGGTAAAGCAAAATAGAATTTTTTTTTAACCCCTTGGTGCCAGGTCACGCTGATAGGCGTGTAAACAAAGCGCCCGAAAGCTGGCGTGCAGCCAAACGAGCCGGCGGCGTGCCAAAGCGCGACGAGCCAGTGATTTGGGTTGACGTCACGTACTCGCGAGCTCAAAGTCGGCACGCCGCCTTTGTTTGCTAGAGCGTAGAGTTTTTTTTTCCTTTTGTACACCCGGCGCCATTGGGTTAAGAAACCAAAGCATAATGTGCTGATGGATATGAGATTCTCCCTTGGAAGAATTACATGCTAATACTAATTAATGCTCTTCTACTTGAAATGACCAGGTACCATGGCCACAAATTGCAGACATGCTAGACACCAAATTCAAAGCTGCCACTGGAAGGGGACTAACAGAAGACAACCTGAAATTCTTGGCAGGAAAAGCCTTTAGGTATTGACTCTAGTATTTTATTATTATTTGTTTGTGAGTGTCTGTGTCAACGTCAGTGTCAGTTTTAGAAAGTAGGTTACTGTGTTCTTACCAGAATTATTACAAATAAATGAGGTCTTGACTTAAATCATGATATCTGTTATTTTGTTCATTTTCACAGGAATCCACAAGTCCAAGACTTTACAAACATGATGCTCTCATGGTCCCAGTTCTGCAAGGAGCCCCTGTCTGAGCGAAACTTCACATTTTGGGAGTGGTTCTTTGCAGTGATGAAGGTATGACCATTGTAGAACACTTATGGGAAAGGATGTTGCCTATTTTTATGCTCTATAGGAGAAATTGGCTAAAGACTATGCTCAAAACATAGATAAACAAGTGTTATTATAAAATTAGACATGTTATATCACTTTCCCCCAACTTGTGATAATGTTTGTAGCATGTCCTATTAAAGTATCTGGTAAATAGACTGCCATCCAAAGTTAACCCCCCTCCCAATGGGTCACACTGTGAGGCATCAAAACAAACCGCTTGATCTGAGGTGTGTGGCTGTATGCTGTGGCAGCGCACCAAAACGCTACAAGCCAGTGATTCAGCTTGATGTACCGAACTCCCGCAAACTCGGCACGTTGCCATTGATCTCCAAAGCGTTTTTTTAGTTTTCTTCACATATCATCAAGGGGTTAAAGAGCAATATCTATATTTTTGTCCAAATTGAATTACTATACCCAAAGGACTTAGATACACTATCACCTTTTGGACACCTCAAATTTTTAAAATATTCTATGATTAATAAGATTTTTACAATTTAGATTGGCAGTATCTATCAAAAGGTAGTGGCAACACCATATAGAAAGCCAATTATTTTCAAAACCATGATTTTGCAGATGCTGCTCCCTAACTTTGGAGGGCAGTAGAGGTTTTGTGGAATTTCTTCTTTTGAAAATATATATAGTCTTTCTTTTTCAAAAATTAATATTTCTTGATATAATTGTACAAGTGTATCACAAAGAGCATTCTTTATCTTGCCTTTTTTTTTTCAACTCTTTTACTAGGTCACAAGAGAACACCTACGCCAGCAGTGGAACGATGGCTCCATCATGGGTTTCGTGGGTAGACGCCAGGCAGAAGAAATGCTTAAGAATTCCAAGTCGGGCACTTTCTTGCTCCGTTTCTCTGACTCTGAATTAGGAGGGGTGACAATTGCCTGGATGTATGAAGATACAACTAAAGGTTAGGTGGAATTGTGATCTAGATTTCATTTATTATTGTTATTATTGTTTTGTTTAATTTAATTTTTCTATTCTGATTTTTTGATATATGCATAATAAAAGCTTGTTTTTTTTTTCCTTTATCTTCTTTTTCTTCTTCTTCTTCTTTTTTTTGTGTTACTGGTTACCATCATCATTTTTGTTATATTTGTTAGTCTTAATATTTGTGATATTCTTTGGAATATTTAAGACCAAATATATATTACAGGATTTTACATTGTTCCACATATTTATTAATTGGTTCATTTCTTTTTGTTTGTTTTTATGATGACCTGAGAAATTCACAGTATTATTTTATGTTGCCTTTGCCTGTTTTAAGCATTTTAATGTAGAGCCAATTAAAATTTCTCATCATCATGATTCCTCATTTCTCTCTCTCTCTTTCTCTCTCTCTCTCCTCTTTCCTGTCTCTTTCTTTCTTTCTCCTCTCTTTTTCTTCCTTCTCTCTCTCTCTCTCTCTCTCTCTCTCTCTCTCTCTCTCTCTCTCTCTCTCTCTCTCTCTCTCTCTCTCTTTCTCTTTCTCTCATGTGTAGTAGTCTCCCTGAATAAGGAACCTTCTCTGTTACAGCCTGTCAACGTGATGTTTTCATGCTGCAGCCATTCACCAGTAAAGCCTTCGCCATCCGTCCTCTAGCTGATGTGATCGCTGACTTGAATTACCTCCTTTACCTATATCCGAATGTGCCTAAGGATCAAGCCTTTGGAAAGTACTACAACGCCCCTTGGAGAGCAACAGCCCACTACTAATAATGGTTATGTAAAGCCTCAACTAAAGACTCATGTACCAGGGTAAGCCTTGAGTAGAAGAAACAAACTGCTCTGATGTTTTTTGCCTTGTTATCCCCACATTTTTCCTGTGATGTTAAATTTTTTGTTTGTTTATTTATATTGGATGGCTGGGGGATACTGAGGCTCATATTTATACCAGGCGTCTTATATAGCGGTCAAGTTATTTAGGTTTTTCTCATCTCCTTTTGGTCATTTAAGGGTTTTTCACTATTTGAAAGTGGTTCTGTTACTCGCAGGAAGTTCCTTTCAAAAATCTCTCTCTCTCTTTCTCTTTCTCTCATGTGTAGTAGTCTCCCTGAATAAGGAACCTTCTCTGTTACAGCCTGTCAACGTGATGTTTTCATGCTGCAGCCATTCACCAGTAAAGCCTTCGCCATCCGTCCTCTAGCTGATGTGATCGCTGACTTGAATTACCTCCTTTACCTATATCCGAATGTGCCTAAGGATCAAGCCTTTGGAAAGTACTACACGCCCCTTGGAGAGCAACAGCCCACTACTAATAATGGTTATGTAAAGCCTCAACTAAAGACTCATGTACCAGGGTAAGCCTTGAGTAGAAGAAACAAACTGCTCTGATGTTTTTTGCCTTGTTATCCCCACATTTTTCCTGTGATGTTAAATTTTTTGTTTGTTTATTTATATTGGATGGCTGGGGGATACTGAGGCTCATATTTATACCAGGCGTCTTATATAGCGGTCAAGTTATTTAGGTTTTTCTCATCTCCTTTTGGTCATTTAAGGGTTTTTCACTATTTGAAAGTGGTTCTGTTACTCGCAGGAAGTTTCCTTTCAAAATTTTACCGTGAACTTTAATACATTCTAACTGGTCCCAGGTATGTTTTGGATATTGATAAAGTTTGTGCTTTATGAGTACTTTTTATTTGAAATTTAGTATTTATCCAGTTCTCCTTATTTTTATGTTGTGAAATATCAGGTACTGCTTTTAGAACCAGTTCTTGTGATGCTGTCTAGCCTCAGAATTTTAGTGAGAAAAGTTTTCTATTTTTTTTCTCTCTCTCTCTTTTCTTTTTTCCAGATAATTTGTCTTGTAATATGCTTCATCTCTGATGCATTTTTAAATTCTCTCTTTTAGAAAATTGTAATGAAATAAGGGAATTAGGTTCATAGATCTTTTCACAAATTTATTTTGGTTTTAAAGGTCATGGCAGTTGTGTTACCATTAATTAATTTTATTGAATTGCCCATGCTGTAGAGAAATTTGTTGTCTCATTTCCACTTAATCCGTTGGTCTCAGAAGACATTATCTGTAACACTCTATTTACTTGTTTTAGGAGTTAAGAACATTATAAACATATCAGAAATAAGTTGAAAATCTGAAGATAAA